CAAGGCCACCAACAAGGCCTGTGAGGTGCGGAGGCTCGGGATCCGGATTCCAAGGATGCCGCCCTGGCTTTGGTTCCATTGCAACAGTCAATGCATGAATTCTTCTGATTGTATTGGTCGTTGCTGACAAATGACACACAGGCGTCAAATTGCGGTGGCAACAAATCGATCCTATTGTGTCGCGGTCGATGATGTTGTGGTCCTGTGCCCCTTACAGATCCTGGAGTCCAACGCCACACCAGTCAACCTTGACAATCGTGATGCGCTGATTCGCGCAGCAAGCACGTAAGTGGAGGCAAGATCACTGTGAGCCGCATCATTCGCCCCTGCCTGTGGAATATAGGATACTGAAAAGTTTGGGAATGGGGTTTGTCTGCAGGTCGCTCAGCAGCAAGGTTGTGTCACAGTATTCAGCTCTGCTGTCGCCCATGGCCGTGGACTGTGTGCTGAAGATAACAGACCCAGACAGGCCACAATTGTAAGTAGTATTTTCAGTTTGATGCCAATTGTTAGATTCCTTATTGTGTGTGCCTTTGACAAAGTGAACAATCTTCGCTTTTTCACCTCAAACCCAAAGTGATGGAAGTCGTTTCAGCCAGAAGCAGCTGTCACCTTGATGATGTGCAGTCCATCACCACAACAGGCCTCAAAATGTTGCACTGCATTGACTGCACTTCTGCCACTTTCGCCATTCAGCTCTGGCCGTTGTCTCTATGTACACAAGTCTGAAGTGCTTGCCTGCAGCCACGCAGTGATTGCAGTGGTCAAGGTAGGGGAAGCACTGCCTGAGATCCCCTGTTGGCTTGGCACCAAAGGATGGCATGCTAATCGGTGGACCACAGATCACTCTGCAGTGGTGTTGGGTGCATGGGTAACCCCCGCTTGCATATTGTGCATAAACCTTATGAAAAGACAAAGTTCGCTGTCCCTGCCAAGCCAAGCTGCAATCGATGCCTGCAGTGTCCAGCTGAGAGTGACGTTGGCCATTTGGCGGCTGTGACTTGCGCAGCATCGATCTGAACGACATCAAATTGTTTGCCAAGCTTGGGGGCACTCTTGAAGACACCAAGACGATCGATGGGATGGTGTTTGACCAGAAGGCCTCAAGGTCAGCAAGTGGCCCTGCACGTGTGCAGAATGCCAAAATCGCACTTATACAATTCTGCATCTCACCCCCAAAGACAGATTTAGAGAGTAATGTCATAATCAGCGACTACCAGCAGATGGATAGGATCCTCAAAGAGGAAAGAAACTACATTCTCCAGATGGTGAAGAAGATCAAGGCTGCTGGTGTGAATGTTCTGCTCATTCAGAAGTCGATCCTTCGAGATGCCACAACAGATCTGTCACTGCACTACTTGGTGAGCAAGGGATTCCTTCCGTTCTGTGCCATTATCAATCTTGTCGAGATCTGTTGACTGCTATTGGCTGAAGAAGATTGTGCAGTTATGCTTGAACCAAGAAAGAAGAGGTGTCGCTCGTTGCAGGAAGTGTGTAGCGAAAAGGCTTGTAGGAGTACTGCATGCCAGAAAATGCCAATTTTTGGACTGTTTAGGTTGTCTTGCTTGCTTGTGAAGCTTGTTTGCAATTGACGTGCCTGGTTTCTTGCCCTGTGGATTGGCCACAAAGAATGTAAATGAAGTCTGGGTCCGATGAGAATAAAATGCGTTGACACCATTGCACCCAGTCATTTTTCATTGCACAATGATGACTGTGACAATATTTCTGTCCTTTTGGGAACATAGCTTCCTTGGGAATTTTCATCTCTGATTTGAAACGTGCATGGCAACAGGCCAAGGCGAAGATCATGGTTGTGAAGGACATTGAGCGTTCAGATATTGAATTCATCAGCAAGACCCTGGGTTGCCTGCCCATTTCCCATATTGACCACATAAGACCAGAGAAATTGGGGGCTGCAGAACTTGTGGAAGAATTGGAGGCAAGTGCCAAGGCTTAATGACTTTGTTTCTCTGGAGAGTTGTGAAAAGCAGAATTGAAGAACAGCAGCTGATCAACTGCCTTTTGGGACTGCAAGCTCAAATTCTTAGTCCCGTTGGTTTGTGGTTGTTGATAGGTGTGGTAACGGACCTGTAATGTACCATGAGGTTGAGTTGCAGATGGCCTTGGATCGTGAACTGCCACCCAACAGTGGACGGCTTGATTGTGTGGTTCAGCCTCATATGCAATTCCAAACAAAACACACCTTGACTGTTATTCCTGTTGAGTCTTGTATCACTGCCTCATTTTTGCCAAGTTGTGTGATGGACAACACTGCATATGCATGTTGAGACGTTGCAGTTTCTGACGGCTTGCTGCCAGTGTCACAATCAGGACCAGGCACCACGCGCCCTCAAGAGAATATTGTCATGTTCTGTTGTGTTTGATTTTTTCTTGTCTCATGTCTTTGGGAGTGGTCCTTTGAATTGCAGCATCTTTAGGAATGTCGAGACAGCCTCAAAAAGCACTTGTAGCACAACTTCAGGAATGCAACAGAGTTGCTGCGGGTTGCACAGCATGTGCTCATACCCTGACACGTGTTTCCATGGGCCGCGTGTTTGCAGGTTGGAAAGGAAAGGGTTGTTCAAGTGACAGGCATAGAAAATATGGGACGTACAGCCACAGTCCTTCTGCGCGCATCAAACAAGCTTATGCTCGAGGAAGCTGAGAGATCCATGCACGATGCATTGTGCGTCGTCCGGTGCCTTGTGCAAAAGGGATTCCTGATTCCAGGTGGTGCAGCGCCAGAAGTGGAGGTGACCCACCAGCTGACCGCGTGGTCCAAGACTCTTGAGGTGCGGCAGCAGTGCAGTGTGACAGTCCTTCCAACATTCACTAACGAACGCAGGCACCCGGAGGCCTATGATCCGGTGCATTCGACTTGGTAGTCTCGTTTCCTGTCTGCATTGCACTCTTGGGATGGGCTTCACAGCCAAGCCGGCCCCTGTTTGCGTTGTTCATTTGCTATCTCCTTCAAAGTTCGTGAAGTACAGGTAAGGGTTGTAGCACCATCCGATGTGCTGTCTACCTGTGTGTTCACTGATCACGAATGTGTCAGCCAATCCACTGTCGTCAAGCATGAAGAAGGGTGTTCAAAGAATGCCATTCTGCATGATACTACATGGAGCTGCAACTGGGATGTACGTACATTGAACACCATGACTCGCATTACACCAGAGAAACCTTCTGACACTCAAGTTCTTCCTACACAAGGCACTGAGACTGACCCCCCTCTGTTGCATGCAGGGGATGGAGCAGTACTGTGTCAAGGGTTTTGCAGAAGCCCTGGACATCATCCCATACACACTGGCAGAGAACGCTGGCCTCAACCCCATGGAAATAATGTCAGAGCTTCGAACCTTGCATGCCCAGGGGAAGGATCAGCATGGTATTAATGTAAAGAAGGTGAGCAACGTGATGAATTTGGTTAAAGCAGTCATGACTGTTTTGGTGTCAGTGGAGGGTTTTGCGATGTTTGAACAGCTTTGATGTATCTTGGTGCTGTGGCCTCAAAGCTGTGCCATTGTGTTTCGTGTTTCTTGTTTCTGAGCTCTTGTTCTATCGCTGATACATTTGTTGGGTGCATTTTCCACAGGGTTCCATCTCCAATATGTGGGAGGAAAATGTTGTGCAACCCTTGCTAGTGAGCACCAGCGCGATCACCCTGGCCTGTGAATGTGTTAGGATGATCCTCAAGGTACAGTTTGTGTGGTGACTTCTCATGTGCGTTACAATTCCTACTGAATAGCCTGACATAGCAACAGGTCCTGTAATGAAGGTCGTTTCTTTGCATTGCCTGGAAAGGCATAGTCATATCTTCGTTCTACTCCTTGTTTTTCCCAGAAATGGTCAGTTGGACCAGGACAGGAGTGCAGCTGGACATGTCTTGTGCATGCTGACACATATATTATGGGATGCTTGACATAACCTAGTGGTGATTACATTCTGCAAGGGGTGAGCCTTGTATTTGGTGAGCCTTGTATTTGGTATTTTGGTTGTTGGCCTTGTATTTGTTCTTTCCGTTGAGGATTCAGACATGCTGCTATATACTGGTTGATCTTTGGTTTTGCTCCACATTGTGGTTTCTCACCACCCAGTGGGCTGAGCAGTGTGCACCCGAAGTCCAAAGAGATGGAGAAAAGATACATCTTATCCTTGGCATGTCCAAGTTGGTGCTATGCAGCTTTTCATAGGCAGATTACTACACCTTTGTGCATGCGCTTGCGTGTGGATCTGCTGATTTGTGCTGAAACCAGTAAGGAGCTCCTGCACTGAAGTCTGATGATCTGATGACAACAGTGGTTGTGGCCTGCCATGTGCACCAGTGGGGAGGATGTGACTAGCACTAGTGGATCTGTGCTTGCTGATTAAGATGCAGCAGAAGCATGGCAAACGTTTTGTGACACTGAATTCTTTCCTGTTTCTTTTCGCAGATCGATGACATTGTGATTGCCCGATGATGGCAGTGCGGAAAGAGGTCTGAAATAGGATGGGCCGTTCACATATGTGTTGACAGAAAAGAGGCACATTGTGAAATATATTGCAGGTTGGGCTGTGCAGTTTAGGTGGTAAAGGAGACGTTTCGATGATGTTGTACAAATGAACAAAACGTGTGTTCATTGTCCCACTGTCCAAATCTTTCAACACCTGAAGATTGTGCGCTGGCCTCACATGCCGTTGTTGACCAGTTGTGAAAACATCCCTTCATGCTCGTGCCAGTGTCAGCTGCTTGTGCAGCTCACAAAAGCATCGCAACATCGCCGGTCGAGTCCGATTCGCAGGTGTCACTTGCCCAAGTGCAAAAACTCCCCGTAGCCCGCTCGTCGCTACTGCGTTTCCCGCCAAGACAAGCCCGCCTGTCTCAACGTCACATCGCCTGGGAGGCTGCTTCCAGAGCGCCACGCAATTCCATTCAACTCTGCCCCACACCCGCCCCACCTGCGCCCTTACGACCGCCCTCTGTAAACGCCATGCGCAAGCTGTGTTCTCTTTGATGAGAGACTTAAGTCATCGCTTGCTCACGACTTCTAAGTCGGGCCGCATAAGGCCAGGAAATTGGGCTCCTCACACTGCCTACCGCGCCCAGCCTACCCACTACAGCGCGCTTATGGCAGCATCAATTGGTATTGGGTGCCTTCTGCTAATCGTGCGCCAACGGGCCGCCACGTCGGATCTACTGTCACAGTGCGATCCCCAGCCCCAAGCCCAAATCTGTCCACCGCGCCGTTTTCGACAGACTCGCACTCGCGTGACCGCGCAGCCCGTGGTTCCAGGACGCGCAGCCCCGCTCCGGCACAAAGGGTTCCCCCGTTCGTCTCGAAAGGGGGCCGTGCGCTTCGGGGTCGCGGACCCGGCGGCCCCATGCTCGCCGCACGGATCGGCTCGACCCGCTGCGGCGGGACGCAACAATCGAGTCCCGGATCCAACAGCCCGGCTGCTCATTTCAAATGTCGACGTGTCGAATGCGGATTGCATGAATGGGTGCCTGCCGGCGTGAGGCGGCCCGGGCGGCGCACGACCGTCCGATCATCCCGTGGGGATGTGTGCCGCTCGGCGCCGCTCGCTGAGTCATGGCCGCCAGGGGCGGAGGGCGTGGGAGGACAGGCCGCCGGGACGCTGTTGGCTGGGTGCCTGGCGGCGCTGTGCGGGCTGGGGGCGTGGGGAGGCGGCGCACTGGCGCAGGACATCCTTACCGCCGGACTGTCGAGGGAGAACCCCGTGGTTCGTAAGGACACGGGTTTACTAAGGGAGCGGGCGACCCGCCTGCTGAACCGCCACTGGAGAACATAATGGTGTCCCCGCTCCTTTTTCTTGAAGATCCCTTCTTGTTCTGCTGACAAGGCCAACGTGGGTCAATGGGGAAATAATATTACTGCCTGCACCAAATCGGTGACTGCTGCCCCAAATCATGTGAACACTATGTCCTAACCTCAGTTTTAGGGTTAGGTTTAGTTTTAGGGTGAGTTTTAGGATTAGAGTTAGTATTGGGCAGGTTTAGGTTTAGGTTTTAGGTTTTAGGTTAGGTAAGCTTTGGAGAGAGTTGCTGCAAGCAGTCACCGATTTATTGCAGAAAGTCACCGATTTGGTGCAGCCAGTAATTGTATGCCATCCATGGGTCATTGGTTGAGGGGTTAGGGTGTCGAAACAAGAACCGACAATCACAAAAAGGGTAGAGTGACTAATTTCATGCCCCGCTTCTGTGACGCTGGGCCATTTGTGGACCGATGTGGTTACCTCATTGGAAGGTGAACAAGCACAACGGGCGACATGCCGATGCCGTAAATGTCGCCGCCCTGGATGTGGAATTTTCGGACTTGCATTTGTCGCACATGACAAAACAGAATCCCTGTCCAAAGATTTGGTGATTCGGGGGCTGTTTTTGCCGGCGCGGATTTCATGCCGACACCAAGGTCGAAGAATTCTATCGAGTCCATGAACGAATTGGTGCACTGGTTGGAACGAACCGATAGAGTCCTCAAAATTGTTGTAGGCAAAGATGGTGACAGTGATTGGGCAACGAAGCGCTGCCACAAGAATTTTGCTGAAAAGTGCAACATGATCAGATATGAGTTTGTTGTGCCCAAATTCCAAAACCAATCTGCTATGCCAACTGATGAGTTTTCACTGTTTGAGCCGTTTCGTCAGCCGTTTGGGCATCTGGCCTTTTGGGGTGAGAGTGGATGTAAAACCTGAACTATTGGGAGGGCTTGGCATGATTGCCAAACTAGAAACACACTGCAAGCACATTGCACTGGATTATGGGGCAGCGTCCCCAAATTGCAGTGCTTTGGAGAGACAATAGCTAACATCAGGTATGGTGCATGCTCGCAGTTTGACGCTGCCAAGATCCTTCCTACAAAGACAAGAGGGGATTTAAACACTGAATTGAAGCAATTTGAGGAGTAAGTGTGTGTAACGTATCGGGATGATTAAGGCACCATTGTTGCCTTAGGTACGGGTGTTACTCGGCTCACACAGATCATTGGTGTTTGCAGAAGGACTGGTTGGCGCCTTCGATTATTGACTGCATATGAAGGCGAGCTGACACTTACCGAGGACGACATTAGGTGAGCAACATTGAACACCATTCAGTTCAATTAGTTTGAGGATCTATCTTCTGATGCCTGCAGGCAACAACTGTGGGCTCTTGTTGCTCAAGGTCAGCACAGACCAGCACAGTTGCTTTTGCTAGCTACGAATGAGCCTAATGAGCCACTTGTTGACCTTTCAGCCCTTTAGAAGTGGGTTTGCACTGGCTGATGGGCATCTGTGCACCATCTTTTAGGCAAATAGTATGCAGTTACACGACATCAAAGGAAATACAAAAGTAGCGGATCCTTCACCGGGCCAATGGTCTCTCGCTACCCATCTATCCGAAATGCACGATACAGCAGTGTCTGCACTCCTAACATCCAAAATCCCTTTCTTACTTCATGTGTTCACCAAACCATCCACAAATTGTGCCCTGCATCCCTTCCGCACGGTACAGATTTGGACCGTGTACTTATGCTGGCACCTAATAAGCTGCTTGTGGCAACTGGCCAAGACTGATATTCAATTCTGCCAGCAATCAGACCAATGATACCTTGCCGATGGCCACGATTGAAGGTTGGGGTTGCTAGAGGTGGCACTGGGGCTGTTTTGTCAAACTCTGCGTCAAATTGCAACTCAGCACGGACCCTTCCCACACCTGAGCATTGTCATTACATGGAACATCACAATCCAAGCATGGATGCGGATACAGATAGGAAGCTGTTCTTGCCCTACCATCACCGATGTGTGTCCCCACGTCGTGGTCAGCTCTTGGATGGAGATACAGATCCAAAACCTGATCTTGCATCCCATTACCGATATTTCTTCCCACATCACAGTCTGAACTTTGTGGGGATATAGATGGAAACCCTGGCATTGCAACCCCACGCCAATGTGTCTCTGATGACTACCAATGTCAGCAGAGGGAATCAGTCAGTAACACGACTCAAGCACATGTTGGAACATCGCTTTGGCCAACTAGATACCAGAATAGGAATCCAGATGCACATGAATTGACTCTGATTGGCTAAGCCAGTGATGCTTGATCCCTGGAATTTTTGAGAGATGCCAGAATAGGAATTCTTGTGCATCTGGATGCCATCTGCAGGTTTAATGTTTGAGAAAAATAGTTGATTAAGTCGGTGGTGGTTTGGGCTTCCTCTTGGCCTTATGCTGATTTTATGGCCCTTGTGTAGTCAGTTAGGATAATTGGTCTAGACAACCCATCCCAGCATCAGTTTGATCCTCAGTATGGTAATTTTGCCCAGCGCAACCACCGTGGGCCCAACACAGCAATGCACTCATAGTTTCTTCACTGACAGCCTGTTTCCTTTTGTTGTCGTGTGATCAAACCTAATAATGCACCACTTGCTGAAGCAGCAGCGTTCTTCCTTAGCCACATTTCCTGTTATTTGTAACAATACACCTATTTTGAAGACTTGTGAGCCTCACAGCAGGAAAGGACATGGGCTAGGAGCCTTGAAATACACTGCTGACAGCTGGAGTTAATGCAATGCTTCATTTTGGAGTGCTGTCAATTGCCTTTTCGATGATGAAATCTTGCCCTGTGACACAGCAGCGACTGAACAGCGATTGAATGCTCATCTTCTGGATTGGTTATGCTTTGTTGGTGTTATGTTCATTCCCTCTACCCCAGCTTGCAAGTTCAGGAGTTCACCATACTGCCACTGCTGTTTATAATGAGCACAGCACGCATAGTATGCGTACTGCATTAAATTCGTATCGTGACAGCAGACACAGCCCTTCCTTCGTTGCTTTGCATGCCGCCTTGCCACATGGCAGTAAAGGCCACTTACTCGGCTGCTCACCCCCACCAACATGGGTTCTTGTTCCGTTTTGCGGTGCTGCAGGGCAGCTTGGCAATTGGATTCCAGAACTGTGGTGGTCGGCGTTGACCCATCGTCCCCAAACATCGTTGCCTTTCGATACCTGGGGTCCGACGTACAGCAAAAGCTGCGGCGAGGATTCTGGATCGAGCTGCAGTCCAGATACGGCAACATATTCTACATCCGTGAGGAGGGCGAGGCTGCAGCGATCACCAATTTGACTTCCACCATTGAAGGATGTTTAACAAAGCCTGAGGGCTGCTACGTGGTTCCAGGCCTTCCAAGAGACCAGTTTTACTTCACCCTCGTCCTCTCAATCGCCGGCGGTTTAGTGTTCGGTTTCGCTTCCAAACTGGAACCTGCAGGTGCGCTAACAACACAGACTGCAACTCAAAGTGTGATACAGCTGAACGGCAGCTGATCTAGCTTGACTTGCCTGAACCCAGTCTCATTGAATTTGGTTTGTTCACTTGTATTTTCGTGCGTTTTCAGTGTGTGATCCACGGTTTGGCACTCCCGCTGAACGAATTCTGGCGCAATGAAGACTGAAGAGTGAAAAATATCCTTTCGTGGACCACATGCGATTGTTTTGCTCCTGAAAGTGCAACATTGGAATCTCTTTTAAAAGGATGACATCCCTGGTGTTGACACTTGTTTTGTTCTGGAGTCGACATTATCACACTGCATTGAGATCCCAGATGCCGAACATGTCCTAACAGGAGATTGGTGGGCCTTGTGCCACTGTGCAAGAAAGTACAAGGCGACCAAAAGACACAAATGTTGAGTCCATGCAAACGAGTGCACAATCTCAAACAAGCGTAGGCTCGGCACTCCACGTTGAGGATTGGATGAGGCTGGGAAGAGGAGGGGGGACTTGCTGTTGATTTTGTGTGAATTTCAAAATCACACATAAATGCAATTAACTATCCTGTTAATGGGTTTCTGCCAAGGGAGACGACGGATGGGCTGCCCCGGGTGATTCAAAAGCGCAGTTTGAACTTGGGCCTCACTCAGGCCCCGTCCCTTGGAATTTCTGGCCATCCTAGTACTGTGGGTCAGTCAAAGTACGAAAATACGAGGTGCCGCCAACCTTGGCGCCCTCGGGTTTGGCGGGCATGGCGGGGCTGAGCGGGGCCGGCTATTTAGGCTCCCTCCTCGGTCCCCTTATCTTGTTTCGCACACGGCCCTTCCCCCTTAGAAAAGTGGTGTTCGATTTAGTTGTGGGATGGAGAGGGAGGAAAGGGAGTGAAGTATGGGATTAGGGGACTGACCCATGGGGTGAGTCTGAGTGGCATTAAGTACTAGCGAAGCGAAGGGGAAACTTACGGATGGGAACCTCGGGAATACGTTGGTGATTGTGATGTTGCAAGTGTTTTGTCATGGGGGAGTACATGGCCGGGTGGGCTCAGAGACCGGTGAGGCAGAAATCAACAGCAAGTCCCCCCTCCCCTTCCCAGCCCCATCCAGTCCTCAACGTGGAGTGTCGAGCTTCTCTTGTTTCAGGAATTTCAGCAAATTGTTGAAATTCATTTACTACATGACGGCTCCGGCCATGTTGCATGATGGGCGAGGAAAATTTTGATTTTGTTGTTAATCTGGCTAGTTGCAAGATCGGCACCACAGCGTGTTGTAGTCCAAATATCTCTTTCTTGTTGTAGCGAATCACAAACAGGTGCACGCTGTCGACAGCCATCCTGACGGTTGGGCCTGTTTGTGGTTACAGGCTGGGTCCAGCAGCCATGGGTGTGGACGGTGCTATTTTCGCCGTTGTGGATCATTTTATTCGTCAGCCTGGGGCTGGGGCCAGTAATCTCGCGGACATCTGAGCCTTGGCCTGTGCTTGGAAACGTCGCGGGATTTGTGGGTGCCATATTTCTGTTTAGGGCGCTCCCGAACTTCCCCCCCAGAGACCTCGACCCTCCATCAGACGAAGGAATGGTATGACAGTGGACATGAGCTCAAGGCGGAGGGGCGAAACAACGGTTACCCATTCTCTAATCGTTCTGAAGTTGCTGCAGGAAAGTTCACAGCGGGTGCAAAGGCAATTTAGGGGTGTTGCTGGCCGCTGATAGGGTTGACGACTGCGAGGGTGTCCTTGGTGGCTGTTGCCTGTCGTTACCTGTAGGTCGCGAGGCTCCTGCTATGTCTTGCGAAGAGGATTGCAGCACAAGGAATTTAGCTGCTGTTGCTTTGCCCGGTGCAGAAACAGCATCAACGGCACTTCTGGCGTTCGCCTTGGTGGGACCACACCTTGATCCCCCTAATTTGAGTTATTGAAAACTCGAAAGGGATATTCTGTGGGACGACAACTGCAACAATGGCAGATGATGGGCTTACAACCTTGATAAAATTGATCGTTCTCATGACAAAGACTTGTCTGGGAATTAACAGCCGGCCAAGAGCAGGAATACGTGAGGCAGACGAGGTTTCTCAAAACTTCTGCAGATATTGCTCACTTCATTGGGAGTAGTGGGTGCCGTGGATGCCTTTTGGAATCTACATCTCCCAGGCACAAATAAGCACTGAGAGCCCCCGAGCACTCGTGTTGGTAAACCAGTCATTGGCCTAGCCGAAGTTCAGAACCCTATGATTATTTCAATCCTTATGGGTGGAACAGTGGTGATGTTGTCACAATTGCGTCAAAATGGCGCAGGAGCGAGTGAAGAACACTGGTGCTGGAATTTATGTCATGGCGCTGAAGTTGACTGGAGACAAGGAGGGGTGCTGGACGTCTTCAATCGAAATCAGAATCTGGTGTGCCCGCTGCAGTGGCTGCCAAATTCGCCTGAGCATACAGCCAAGGGCCCTGTGCGTCGTATCCAGACTTCGATTAGGATGTGGCATTGGTGGATTGTCGCTGGGGGCAGAGGGGTTCTTTGCATCAACTTCATGTTGAGCGCGATGCAATCGCCATATTGCCGCCCGCTGCTTTGCTCCCAGAGCACGGGGTGTGCCACAACACACGCGCGGCGGCACAGAGTCAAAGCGTCCAGGCTTCACACCACAACATCTTGCCGCGGGTTCAAGGGTCCGCGGTGAGGACGGCCAGACTGACCAACGACGCGAACAGCCACTTTTCGTCGCCAATCAATCAGCCGCCGCTGAGATACGAACACATTACATCACGAAGTCGCTGGGTCGACGCCAGTGCACCGATGACTGTGCGCGGCCATCCCGCGTTCCCAGACAGCTGTGCACCGCCCCCACTCCAGCTCACGCCGGACGGCCCCACTTATCACACTCCTCGGACACGGCCCTTTTCGTACGACGGCAGCCGGTAGGACCGACCAACAGGCCGCGCCGTCCTGCCGTCGGCACCGCGGCGTTCTACTCGGGAGCCGTCGCCGCGGCGCGGAGGTGAGGTGGGCGCACCAAGCAGCGGGCAGCTGTGGGCCACGCGGGGGGCAGATGCGCGATGTGTGCGCTGCACCGCGCCGCGCGGTGCCTGGGAGCCTTGGACGCTGCCGGACTGGACCCGTCGGTATCCGCCCATGGGCGGACACCTAGCGAATGGCGAGCGATTCAGGCATTGGCGTGGTGTCGCCCAACTGGGAGCTGTTTCCGCGATCGACGTTGGCGCAAGTGGCCGCCCAGGAACGGGGGACCATGCATGGCTGGCCAGCCAAGAGCGTTCCCGCGCTGCTGGCACCGGTTGGGCTGAGCTGACTCCGCCCACGCCATACACGGTTTTCGTCGCCGTTGCGAGCAACTCCCTGGGTGATGGCGGCGCTGGCCGTGGCGCCGCCCATTGCCGTTGAATTGCCAGCTGGATGCCGGCCCCGACGGACGCGAGCACGCGAAAAGGAGGAGGACTTCTGGAGTAACGCGTGGCGGCACCAGTCGGCACGTCCACAAGTCGCTGTTTGGCAGTGCCTTTGCCTAGCCCAGTGGGGCCATGGAAAACGCCTTTGAAAGTTGTTGCAGAGGGCTTTGGGCAAGCCCTGACGGAGTGGAGGTTTCAATGCGTCCTTCCAGTGCGCAATGGCTGACTATCCGTCATTGGCATCGGTCATCGGCCGTCCTGCGGACTGTTCGAACGCAGCGCACACCTTCTGCACGCGGTTGCGCCCGGTACAGGTTATCGAGGCTTGGACTCTTTCTTTGTTGGCACCGCCTTGCTGGCTTCACGCTTGCGGGATGGCTGTCGTTTCAACACAGCTGACCGCGTGCCGTCCCAGCCCCTTTTCGAGGGCAGCAGACCCCGTGCTGGGGCGTTGGGCGCAGGCGATGACTACCGCCGCGCTCAAACAGCCACGTCCGTGGCGCTCATCGCTGAAAATGCGCCTTCAACGCCGGTTGCATTCGCCGCTCGCGGCCTGTCCGTTGCCTTCCGCACACTCCCGGTTGTGGTGCTGGGTTGGCGCCTGGCACTTGTTACGTTAGTGCAACAATTGCACTAAACTCAATAGGAATTGCTCCTATTTAGGAGATATTGGGCTGTTTGGAGGCTACCTCTTGACAGCCTCCCCGTCTGGATATGTAAGAATTCTTGATGATGATGACTGTCTCTGCGGTTCGATAAGGGGTGGTGGGGTCCTGGAGCCAACGGAAGGTGCCACAACGGCAACAGAGCCACCGATGGCGACAGGAATGCTGCATCAGCCCGCCTTCTACTCGGCGCATGATTTGATGATGCAGGGGAATCCCATTGTCGGGGATCTGAGACCAACATACGCACATGGCAAGTAAACAATCCGAGCATTGGGCTCACAATCAAACCACAATGGCGCAACATAACGCAATATAAGCTTTGACTACATTAAGTTAGTGATGAAGCAATGCAGGCTTGCTCGCTGTGTAAGCCGAAAGCTGCAACTGTCCTTGCAATGAACTTTAGTTGGGGATTTTGAATTAACTGGTGCAATGTGACATATCCATATCTTAATGTGAACAGGACGACCAGCCCCGTTTCATGCCATTAATGGAATATTCCGGGCAATACCCCAGGGCTGAACACATGGCTCTGCGCGTCGGGGTAGCGCTGCATATATACAGCACTGCACTGTACAGTGAACATCAGGCATTGGTCGTCGAATAGTACATGTTTCCCATGTCGCAGGCCATACGGACTCTCAAGACACTGGCGGCTTGGACTTCACACCTCTGGACGAGTTCTTGTGCAGACTGAAGGATTGGACAGACGCCGCCAGAGTGCCATGGCACTTGTCCCCGCGGGATTTGTTCGAGCCCGTGTCGCTGCCGGGCAGCCTGGACGAGGAGGATATCTCAAAAGTGGTGGCCTACAGCGCCGGGCTTCCAGAAATTTCCATGCTGGCGGCTATGGTCAGCGTCGACAGCCCCAGAGATGCCTTTGCTGCGCTGGTGGCCCTGTCGTCCATGGTGCGCAAATTCCGCCACCACTGCTGCTTATCTTGTGTCATTCGCGAACGAAGAATTTCCTCCTGTCCAATAATCACATATCCTAACAGTGGCATGAGCGTTTCCGATCCGCTAGCTCAAAAGCACTGTTTATAAACAATAATACTTCCTCCGTCCCAGATTAATTGTCGTCTATTTAAAAGGCTAAATTTGCTATAAGGACAGCCTCAGAATTTGAAAACAAGGTCAAAATCGAAAAGATTTCATCTCAAACCCTTGACTATCAATTTTCAAGAAGGGAAAGTGAGACATGTCCCTTTTGAGCGCAAGAAGAAGTTAAATTTTGGTAATGTTCGACCCCAAATATTGAGATTTGCTACGTGAAAAGACCCTTAATACAAAGTACTGCCAAATGCTCAATACTTAATGGATTGAATTGAAATTTTTGTGGTGTACTCTTAACTCAAAAAGACAATCTTAGGCGAAATTTAATTAAAAACAGGTGTGGTAATGATGGAGAAATAATGCCCCAAAATCATAGACGACAATTAATATGGGACGGAGGAAGTACATACTATAACTTACAGACAATGACAATTACTTCATTTCTAGGCAAGATGCTCTGCTAGTTTCCAGCGCTTAATACACAAACCATCCGCGAAAACAACGACTTTCCGTGGACAGATGGGTATAGGAATCGGTCTGCACAAGTCGGGTGTCAACTAATGGCATCGACCGCACAGGGAGCGCAGACGCTAGCAGAAAACACCTTTTGTGATGTCACCGGCGATGCCACTTTGACACTAATAGCGCTATCACAGTGACTGCGATGGATTGGAAACTTCCTCTATGGCATCAAATGGTGTCAAAATGCATCGCGGTTGGCGTCACAAAATGTCGTTTTCTACAGGACCCCGAACAACACGAGGTCGAGTGCTGCCCATGCAGGTGCATCGATCTCACTGGAGACAGACCAGACAGCTGATGGAATGCCTTCCGAAGCACCACCTTCAGGAATTCACAGAGCGCGTACACCCCCAGTGCCGGATCCCCGCCTCAAAGCTGCTCCTTCGGCTGTGGGGGCACAAGCTGCAGGGCGCGGACCTCGTGCGGTACCTGCACGACAGGGAGATGTCTCTTCGAGAGGAGGCTGCCCTCTGCGTTCTGCGTTTCTCGTCGAGGGACAAGGGCAAGCTGTCCGAGATCGCGTCGGCCATCCTGGACTACGGAGCTCACGACATAATTCATAACCTGATTACCGCTTCCGCAAGACAAGCTCCCGCCGAGGTAATCACCGTGCACCATTCAAGGCCATTAATGGAACAGAAATATTTCTGTACAGTGGCTGGCGCGGCGCTCAAATGAGCTGCGCATACGAGGTTTTATGCACACACGGAGCTTGAGCTGCAGACACATACATTTGCAACGTGTTACACCGTTTCTCTTATTGCATATGTGCAATAATGGAAACTGCATAACACGGTCCAAATATACGAAACGTGCACTCAGGAAAACATGCAACGCCAATGCCATGGTATCGTCAAAATCCCTGGAACACATTTGTCACCAAATGGCAAAGCACAGCCCGTCCACCAGGTAGGCGATGATGGGCGTGAAAACCGAGC